GTTAGAGACTCACAATTGTATTAAATAAAAGGCACATCCTGCACAATACAGTTCTATTATAGTGAGTTGGAATTATTACTTCATGCCACGAGGGATATTTTTATCATTAAAAAATTTAGGATTTGTAGTTTAAAAACATAAAATGAGCCTTGAACCTTCCTCACAGAGAGGAAGAGAGAGAGAACCAAACCCAAACCAAGTGAAGCCACTTTGAAAACTGCAAAGCCCAATACACACAGAATTGAGGAGGAGAAACCTAAGAAAAGCGGGGAGGGAGTGGGGAGCAGGGATATGCCTTGGGACCCCTTTGCCTTCTTCTCAGCCCCAGGCTGTTTCTTGAGTCTCCCTGGTCTTATGGGGAGTAGTATAGTGCATGGGGTGGGTAAGAGACACAGAAGGGGGACAGAGAGCAGGCATCCTGAGAGGGATGGGGAAAGAGCAAGCGTCTCCATTTACAGTCCACAGGACACTTTCACATGGCTGACCGGTTCCAGTCTCACAACCACTCTGGGCGGTGTTGATTGTCCCATGAAACTGACTGCAAACCAAGGTTCAGAGAGAGGAAGCAGTATGCCCAAGGTCATAGACACCATGACTGGCAGAGCCGGGGTGTCCGCCCAGGTCCTCTGATCTTCACCCAGTGCCCCGTCCCACTTAGTCACGTGTCCCTGTTGGGAGCTGCCAGGTTCATCTTCCTAAAGCACTGCCTCTGTCAATTCACTTCCTTGCTCTCCACAAAAAAAAAAAAAAAATCTTTAGTGTCATCAGTGCTTCCGAGATCAAGTACAAATTTCTCAGTTCAGCATTCCAGGTCTCCATGACTCGTCAAACTGTCCAGAAGATAAGAAGGCAGAGCTAGAAGATATCATAGCAACCCTAGAGTCCAGCCCTCTTTGCTCAAGAATGGGAAACTGAGGCCCAGAGAGGGGAGGGTTTTCCCAAACATCCCAGAGCAAGTCAAGGTCAGGAAGCTGGAAGCCAGTTTGCTTATCGCAGTGTACTCTCTGTTCATCCTTGGGACTCCTCTAGCAGCTACCCACCTGAGACAGGCAGATATGCTTGCTGGACTAGAATTAGCTTAGCTGGGTGTAACAGAAAAAAACAAAATAACAGTGTCCCAATTCAGATAGAAGCTTCTTTCTCTTTCAATTTTCCAGACACATGGAAATAGTCTATCCAAGGCAGGAATGACATTTCATGGTGCCATGGACCCAGGTCTTATCCCTCTTCTGCTCTGCCAAGGGTGGCTTCCATTCCCCCATCACCTCATGGTCCTATATGGCTCCTGAATTGCAGCCATTATGTATGCATTCCTGCCAGCAGAAAACAGAACCAAAACAGCTCATGTTCTCTCCCTCTAAGAACACTTCCCAGAAGTTGCACCCTCCACTTCCACTTCTATCCCTTTCTCACATGGCCACAACTAACTGCAAAGAACACCAAGAAATTAGTCTTTTTTCCTGGTAGCCATGTGTCCAACTAAAAAGCAGAGTTCTATCTACGGAGGGAAAAGAGGAAGAACAGAGATTCAGGAGCCACCAACAGTGTCGTTTTCACCTCTGCCATCCGCCTCCCCACCCTCCAGGTACCAGGCACACTGCTAGGCACAACCCAGGCCTAGCTCTGTTCTTTCCACTCCTGCCCAAACCATTACAGAGGACTGGCTATTGCTCACACGGGGCTAAGTCCACTTGGCAGGGAGACACTTTAATAAATCAATACATAAGCTGCTCATGGACTAGGCCTGAGCAAATGGATTTTTTTCCCCAAAAAGAAAGAGTTTTAAAAAGGTTAAAATGGCCAAAAATATGGCTTTCCTGGTGGCTGAGTGGTAAAGAATCCATCTGCCAATGCAGGAGACACAAGTTCGATCCCTGGTCCAGGAAGATTCCACCTGCCTAGGAAGCTCCTACACTGAGAAAAGCCATCCCATTCCAAGCAGAGAACAGCATGCACAACGGCCCAGGGCAGAAGGAATGTGATGTGAAGCTTCAGAGCTGCACAACTGTCGGGGGAGGGTGGTAGGGTGGGGGAGCTGGGAGAGGGGGTGATGGGGGAGGTGTGCGTGGGGAGGTGCTAAGGCGGGTGGAGGCTGAGCTGGCCCAAGCTGTGGGCCAAGGCAGGGGGTGCTTAGGGTTTTATCCTGGGGGTCAACATCCTGGGGGTTAAGTAGCAGAGTAACTGAATCTGATTTGCATTTTCTTTTGATTTGCATTTTTTTAAGTGTACTCTGCAGACACAGAAAACAAACTTAAAGATTACCAAATGGGAAAGAGGGTGGGGAGCGGAGGCAGGAATAAATCAGGAGTTTGGGATTAACAAATACACACAACTGTATGTAAAATAGATACAACAGTCCCCACTGTATGCTACGTGTGTGCCAAGTTGCTTCAGTCCTGTCCAACTCTTAGCAACCCCATATGGACTGTAGCCCGCCAGGCTCCTCTGTCCCTGGGATTCTCCAGGCAAGAATACTGGAGTGGGTTGCCATTTCCTCCTCCAGGGGCTCTTCCTGGGGATTCAACCCTCCTCTCTTAAGTCTCCTACACTACTGACAGGCAGCTTCTTTACCACCTGGGAAGCCCACTATACAGTACTGGGAGCTATTGCTCAATGAGAAAGAATCCACCTGCCAAAGCAGGAGATACAGGTTCGATCCCTGATCTGGGAAGATCCCGTGAAGAAGGAAATGGCAACCCACTTCAGTATTCTTGCCTGGAGAATCCCCATGGACAGAGGACCCTGGTGGGCTACAGTCCATGGGCTCACAAAGAGTCAGACACAATTTAGCGACTGAACGACAACAATAACCTATAATGGAAAAGAATCTAGAAAAGACTATATATGTGTGTATATGTGAGTAAATAGATAGGTAAACTGAATCACATTGCTGTACCCCAGAAACTAACACAACATTGTCAGTCAACTATACTTCAATTAAAAGAAAAGCTGCACCCTGGCAAGGGGCCCAAGGGAATCTTCTGTGACACAGGCAGTGTTCTCCATTACAGTACGAATGTCAAAAGAAACCCATTGAACACTGTCTGCATTTTATTGCATTTAGTGTTAACCTCACAAAGGGGCCTGTGATTGGCCAAGCATGGCTCCCTCCACCTTTCTGGCCCCAGAGAAGAGGTTCTATTAGGGGCAGGCTACCAGAACCACGGGTTGGAGCTGGAAAAACAGCTCCTGAAAGAAGGGGAGTGGGGTTCTAATACCTGCCTCCCTGGATCCTCAGAGGCTTGAAATGTGATGAAGCACAAGATCTACCACCAGGCAGGTATGAAGGAAATGTGACCGTCCATCCTTCAGCAGTGTCTCATCTAATGAGAACTGGAGGACCTGGCTCTTTTACGAGATTAAATACAGAAAGCCAGAGGAGATGGTGTCTTAAGATACACAATAACCAGGAAAGGAAGGAGTGGGAGAGGGAAACTGAATTTTCCCTGGAGCTTTCTTTCATAACCAAACAGTGGAGGAAGTGGAGGGAGGGATGGAAACTCCAGGAGAGCTTTGATGGGGCCTTTGATGGCTGCCCGCCCACCCCCCACCGCCACCTTGTGCCCACCGCCCCAGGGCCAAGGCCTGATAAAACAGGGGGTTGGCTTCCACCTGTGGGGCGCAGTTGAAAATGCTGACTTGGGGCCTCAATGGGGGAGAGATCTCTCTCACTGGGTGCTTGCTGAGCCTGTTCGGGTCCCAATACCATCTTCTGGGCTTCCAGTAAGACAGCCAGTCACATGTGAACAGAGGGCAGATGGCTGATATTGTCTTATGAACTTTCTCTTTCATTTGTATATATATAAACGTCTGCAGGTCTTGATAAAAATGAAGTTTGTGCTGAGAGCTGCTGCCACAGTAGTTAAGAGTTGCTGCTCCGGATAATGGTGCTGTTAAGTTTTATCATCAGAGTGAAGTCCTCTCGTGTGACAGAGGACGGAACCCTGGCCCTGGTCCAGGCAGAGTGCCTCAGCTGGGTCTGGAAGCAGCTCCATTGAGGTGGGCAGCAAGGGAGGTAGTGAGACAGCCCCCACCTGTTCGTTCTCCTCTGGTGTTTGGGAAAGTCTGAAAACGGCCCCCATCTCAGCCGTGCTAAGTAAGGACTCACTTCATCCAGCAGCACTGAAGGGCCAGCGAATCTGCCCAGAAATCCAGGAGTGGTGGTAGTGGTTACGGAGCCAAGTACCATAGACGCCCTGCTCCTGCCCTGAACCCTGGAGACCATGTTCCTACGAGATAAGCACAACCCCTATACACACTCCACAGAACCCACCCACACCCATATACACACATCACACCCTCCACATGCAAACAGAACACACACACCCTTTACATACTCCACTGTATATCACATAAACACTGCATGTAAATGGGTGGGAAAGAGTGGCGAGGAGCCGTGGGGGGTGGTTGTGACTGAGTGGAGCCGGGAAGGGGGCATCAGTCCATGCCAAGTCCCTATCCCATCTTGGCTTCTAGAAACTGTGGGTGTGACACACCCAGCTGCTGAGAATGGACTCTAGATCTCTGCAGGAACTTCCTGCATCCCTAGGGATTCCTTGTCCCCAGGTGCTAAGGAATGAAGATGGTACAAATGCATCTCTGGCCACCAAGAAAACGCCCATGTGCCTGGTTGAGGAGTACAGGCCTGAGAACTGGACGGTCCAGGGTTCGAATACCTGATTTTTAATTAGGCCAATTACTTGGTCTCTCTGGGCCTGATCCTGATGCCAATCACCTGTGAGGTCTACAGAAAGGAAACCCTCCTGATCTTCCCACCCAAAACCTGCTCTGCTCCTCAACAGGGTTTGCTACACAGATACAAGTCAAATGGGGTATTTGAGACCAAGGCATCAATGAGTTTTTCAGCAAAAATAGTCTCTCCGGGAACAGCCTGGAGGAGGCCAGACTCTCCTCCACATGGCCCCCCAACCCAGCTTCTGATCCCAGAGAGAGGCCTCCTGACAACCTCTCTCCCCACCTCACAAGGGCTGCACACAGCATAGCGGGTTGGCAGAGCCAACTGAAGCTTTATTCTGAAAAAAGATACTCGAATTGGATTTATTCTGAAAAAGACGCTTACGTTGGCTTTTAGTTGGGGTCATGGGCAAAAGGGGCAGCCTCAGGCAGTCGACTCCCCCCAGGTGTGGGCGGAGGACAGGGGCGAAACCTCAGGTCTCCCACGCACATGCTCCCGCGCACAGCTCTATCTGCAGGAGCCAGTGAGCGGGGGAAGGCTGGGAGGGACCGCAGGAGCCTTTCACTTGGACAGGACATCAGAGGACTCAGACACCAGCTTCCCATCGCGGGTCTCAATCTTCTTCACAACCACAGCCTTGGAACTGGTGCGGCTGAAGGAGCTGGGGCCCCCGCCAGAGCCCAGGCTCAGGCTGTAGTTGAAGCCAGGGGTCCCGTAGGACGAGGTCAGTCCACCTGGTCGGGAAGAGACAGCCATGTGAATATGCGAGGCTATGCTCACATCAGGTGCTATTCCCCTTATCTCCCTGACACTCCAGAAGTGGTCCCCAGGGGCCCTGGTTCACTTCTCCAAGATGATTGGGCGAAAACCAGGAGCAGGGTGGGACAAGGCTTTGCTATTAGCTATATGACCTTGGAGAGATGTTAGAGACCTGGGTTCGAGTCCTGGGTTAGGAAAATCCCCTGGAGGAGGGCATAGCAACCCACTGCAGTATTCTTGCCTGGAGAATCCCATGGACAGAGAAGCCTGGTGGGCTACAGTCCATAGGGTCGCAAAGACACAGACACGACTGAGTGACCGAGTACACATGCACGCATGCATGTGACCTTGGACAGGACATTTAACTGGGCCCCAGCTTCCTCAGCTGTACCAGAGGGAACCATATAGGAGCTGCCCTCCTGCCCTGGCCCCCAAGACAAGGACACTCACCTGCGTAGCCACTGGTGGTCTTGGTGTGGATACTCATGTTCTGCAGCCCAGACTCCAGCCTATACCCAGAGGACACATGGAATATCAGGACCAACCCTTGGCCCTGAGGACCCAGGTCCCATCTCCCGAACTCCAGAGATGGTAAACCAGGGGTGGTCAGAGAACCCCCATACTTACCGGCTCTCCTCGCCCTCCAGCAGCTTCCTGTAGGTGGCAATTTCCACGTCCAGGGCCAGCTTGACATTCATGAGCTCCTGGTACTCGCGCAGCTGCCGTGCCATGTCCTGCTTGGCGTTCCTCAGAGCGGCCTCCAGCTCAGCCAGCTTGGCCTGAGCATCCTTAACAGCCATCTCACCACGCTGCTCAGCATCAGCGATGGCAGCCTCCAGGGAAGCCCTCTGTGGGGGGAGCAGACAGGTAGGCAGGTAAAGCAGAGTCTGGTTGCTTCCTCTCCTTCTCCCCCTGCACCCACTCTCCCTTTCCCCTCCTTTAGGGACCCCCTCTCCATGACCTGGACTAACCAACTCCACCCACCTTATTCCAGGAAAATGTTAGAGGGGACTTTCCTCATGGTCCAGTGGTTAAAAATCTGCCTTGCAATGCAGGGGATCGATACCTGATCAGGGAACTAAGATCCTACATGTCAGCTACCTACTCTCAGCCCACAAGACACAGAGAGTGCACGTGCCACAACTAAGACTCAAAGCAGAATAAATAAAATTTCTTTTAAAAAAAAGGAAGAAAATGTTACCGGTGGGTGAGATTCAGGAAGCGAAATGGGGGAATATGAGCAGCTTCCAGATCCCTCCTGCACACACTTCTCACCTGGGATGCTGTACAATATTATCCCCACTCCCAACAGGACTAGATCTCTGCTTTCTAAACCCCTTAAGGCATCTGATACATAAGCACCCTGATTTATAAGACAGATAAATCAAGCTTGGGGAACCCATCCTGGACCTCCAACCTACCTGCCCAGCCCTCTGTGACCCCTGTTTTGACCCCTCAGCCTCCCAGAACAGTCTGGACTGTAGCTACCCCTCCAACTCCCAGGATCCTTTCCCCAACCCCCAGACACCTCACTCCTTTCTGTACTATCTCCTCCCACCCAGAGGTGTCCCAGGACCCTCTCCCATCCCCAGCCCAGCCCATACCTGGCCTTTGAGGCCCTCGATCTCTGCCTGGAGACGGCTGATGTTCCGGTTCATCTCAGAAATCTCCGTCTTCGTGCGACGGAGGTCATCCCCGTGCTTCCCAGCCAGTGTCTGCAGCTCCTCATACTGCAGAGGTGAGACGAGGAGTGAGGTTGAGAGGGGACTCCTGGTCCCTCCGAGGAGAGAGTACCCTCAGCCAAGTCACAGAGCCCAGGTCATCTCACGCCCACCGGGCTCCGTACCTCTGAGCCTGGAACATCCCATCCTTGTCCCCCAGCACGACTCGGCAGCCCCGCTCCCAGCAGGCAGAGTTTGAAATCTTGCTTTTCCCCCAAGGAAGGACTAGCACCCAGCACTACCCTAAAGGGGAGCAGCAGCTTGTGACCCTGCTCCTTACCTTGATTTGGTACATGGTCTCGGCCTCAGCCCGGCTGCGGTTAGCGATCTCCTCATACTGGGCCTTGACCTCAGCGATGATGCCGTCTAGGTCCAGGTTGCGGTTGTTGTCCATGGACAGGACCACGGACGTGTCAGAAATCTGAGACTGCATCTCACGGATCTCCTGTGGCAGGAAGGGGAGGAGGTGAGGCCCTGGCCTTGTACACAAGGAGTCCCCTTCTGTAGAAGGGTCTTCCACAGAGGACAAGACAGTTAGGGCGGGAGAGAAGGCAAAGTTCCTAGAGGGAAGATGGGTCAAAGACCTGGAACTTGGAGGGAAGTAAAGATGAAATGAGGCCAGGAGAAAAGGAAATCCGGCTTTGGGTGAGAGACCAGAGGGGCAGAGCCCTTCCACACTCTCAGCTACCAGTATGGTGCCCCCCAGAGGGCTCCCATCCGGCCCAAAGGATCTATCTAAACCCTTGGAACAGAGCAGGTCTGAGATAGCCGGATCACCACTTTGCATTATGTATGATGACCTTGGACAGTCTCTTTTAGTTCTCTGAGCCCATTTTCTCATCTGTGAAATGGGGTAATAAACCCCCCCTCATGCAGGGAGACAGAACATAAAGGACATCCATGCCAGGTTACTATTGGCAGTTGGAATTATTCTGGGTTGGGCCCTTGTCTGTTGGTGCACTGGCGGGGCTGGAAGGAGCCTCTGACGGGGCCAGGGAACTCCAGTCTCCAGCAACTAAGAACATACCTCTTCATACAGTTGCCTGTAGAAGTTGATCTCATCAGTCAGCCCTTCCAGGCGGGACTCCAGCTCTACCTTGTTCATGTAAGCTTCATCCACATCCTACGGGGTGGAGAAAGGGGAGCCCAAGCTGAGTGCCCACTCCTGACTCCAAGCCGGGGACACCCAGTGGCCTATACTTAGAACTTTCTAATTGCCTTCCCACCTCAATGATCCAGTCCTGTCTCTACCCCACCACACCTGTATTCCCAGCCCTTTTACCTCAGCTTCCTGCACATTCCACCTCCTCCCGCCTCTTCTCCCGCTCCCCCTCGTCCTGGAAGTCTTCTATAGCTGGACCTCCAGTTCTACTGCTCCATTTTCTTAACAATGTCATGTCTTAACCCAACAGCCATGAGTGAAGTCGCTCAGTCGTGTCCGACTCTTTGCGACCCCATGGACTGTAGCCTACCAGGCTTCTCCATCCATGGGATTCTCCAGGCAAGAACACTGGAGTGGGTTGCCATTTCCTTCTCCAGGGGATCTTCCCGACACAGGGATCAAACCCGGGTCTCCTGCATTGCAGGCAGATGCTTTAACCTCTGAGCCACCCATAGTTCTGTCCAAATGCACCTAACTCTATCCTTCTATGTTCAGTACCTAGGAGGCACCCAAATGTTGTCCCATTACTTAGAAACATTAAAGAACAGAAAGCCTCCAGCCTGAGTCTCTAAGCACCAGCCTTCTGTGTCTGGTGGGGGGAGGGGTGCTTCCTCACCTTCTTGATGATGACAAATTCATTCTCCATGTCTGTGCGCTTTTGGATTTCTTCCTCATACCTAATAAGGCAGAGACATAGAATCAGAGGATGAAAGGGAAAGGTGAGGTTGCCATGAGTCTTTTGAGGGGGGCAAGAATATCTAGAAAATTCAATTAATGGAAATGTAAAAAGATATGAGATGGTTGTTGGTCTGGTCATTCTGCCCCAACCAGCTACTGTCTCCCCAGTCTTACCCCACACCATCCCCAGTCAGTGAGGAAGTCTAGAGCAGGAAGTGTCTCTCCAAATCCACAAATATATATTGGATTAGGCGTATGAAGAGAGCTAGTAACAGTGACTGACATGAGACCCTTGACAGAACTTTCTGGAACATGCAGGAAATCAGGGATAGGGAAGAAATGGGGCCAGGGCTGTTAATATACAACAGAGGCCTGTTGGCTACCTCTGTCTCCCATCTTAGATTTACTATGTAAACTCTAGAAGATAATTTGTTGTCCAAATCAAGACAGTTCTGCGATTGAAGGGGGAGGGGAAGTGCTATTAACAATGGACACTGTCCTGGAGTCACCCTAATTATATAGGACTGCACTGCCCAAAAAGCAGAGGGCCTTGGGTCTGAAACCTCTGGTCCCAAGGGGGGCCAGGCAGGGTGCGATGATTTCAGTTGGGGAGGACGGAGGCTCACTTGGTCTTGAAGTCCTCCACCAGCCCCTGCATGTTGCCAAGCTCCACTTCCAGCTTCAGCTTCTCCTGGGCCAGAGTTTCCAGCTGCCTACGAAGGTTGTTGATGTAGCTCTCAAACATGTTGTCTATGTTGCTCCGGGCAGTTTTCTGCTGCTGCAGGAGGTTCCATTTGGTCTCCAGAACCTTGTTCTGCTGCTCCAGGTGCCGCACCTATATGATGGGGCAGAAAAGTCCACAGTCACATCAGGCCAGGGCTCAAAGTCTGGCACACAGCAAGCACTGTTTTCCCTTAATCCACTCCCCAAGCAGTTGGATCTCCAGAACTCCATTAGTGCTGAGCTGCAGGGAGATAAGGGGGTACATGGTTGGAAGTAGATATCTAGGAATTATGTTGAAGTTATACTTTCAGGAAAAAAATAGGTACTATTGACTGAGATTGTATATTACACATCAGTAAAAGTAGCCAAGTTTTGATTAACACTTTTCATGATTTAAAGAAATATAGATGGTTCATATCAAACAATCATGATTATTCTTTGGAGTGGCTTTGAGAGACTCATAGATTACAGGGAAACTTCAGTCCTACAGTCTGGAAAGCACTGGCCAGAAGACCTAGGTTTTAGCCTAATGCTGCTACTGATCTTGAGTTGCTTCCCCTCTCTGAGCCCAGGTCTCCTCAACCCTGCAGTGGCCTAGAAGATCTCAGGCAAACCCTATCCAAACCCCATCTCTGTGCCGAAGGCACTTTTAGCAGGATAAGAGCAAGCAACTAGGTAAATCTGTCTGCAAACTGAAGACCCTCCTCCCCACAGCCCTCTCTTTAAGTTCTCCAACATCCAACCCCACCCTACTCCAGCCTAAATCCACAGTCCTGTTTCCCTGTCCAAAACACAAAGGTCCTAGGTTTCTTGGGTTCGAGGAATCCAGATTTTAGGATGAAATTAAGCCATGTTGGAAGAGAAATTTTTTTAATGAAAGAATAATAAACTGGTTCCAAGAAGATGAATGCTTTTTTTTTTAAATTAACCCAAAGTTGGAACTACTTTTAAATTAGGAGGACTTGGAAGAGAAGTTTGTCTTAAGGGTTTGGTTCAGATCCAGCAAATCCATCTCTGTAAATCCCTTTCTTCCCCAGCTCATTCTGTCCCAAAATTATAAAAAATAAGTAATTGTAACATTTACCCTTATTAGACTGCCTAATGTAGGCCACGCACTGCTAAGCTCTTACATACATTATATGCTTGAATAGGCAAAACCTCTTGGATTTAGGGGATTAGGGAGCCCATTTTGTAGATGAGGAAATCAGATTTAGCAGTTAGTCTATCAAAGGGAAGGGTAGAGCACTGGGGACCTTGGGCCTCTGCTTAACTACTCACTGGGAAGACCCCAGAGCTCGAAAAAGGCAGTCAAGAAGTCAAGCCAAGGGTCCTTAAGGCCAAGGAACCAGCAAGCCCTGCCCAAAAACAGGGGCGGACCGGTTTCCCAGGGGACTCCAATTCTTAAAGGCACCAATCTGCCCCAGGATTTCCCTCCTTCCGTTCCCACAATGCCTCCCAGGAGCCCGTCAGCAGAAAGGAACCCGTCCTCCAGCGCTGGGGGCCCTGGGGCCTTAAGGGAGCAACAACCCCTCCCAACCCCAGGCTGCAAAACCCGGCCTGGCGCCTTCCCTGGCAAAGTGGAGCCAGCTCATTGGGGCGGAGCGGAGGAGGGAAGAGTGAGCTGTGGAGGGGAGAGGGCGTAGGCGGATAGGCGCCTTATCTGAAACCATAAATCCTGGGGTTTAAAAGGACGTGAAACGCGGGTAGGGTGTCCCACGCCCTCAGACTTTGATTCCTGCATGGGCTTTCCTGAAGCCAGTCCCTGGCGTCCCACCCCACCCCACTCCTACCCAACTCCACCCCGACACACCCCCCCACATGACTCATCTTGATGCCCCCAACTCTCAGATCCCTGGGACGCCAAAGGCCTGGATCAATATTTGCCTGCTTGAATCAAGACTGCTGCTTCCTTCTCCTAGAATCCTATCAAATTCCTTTTTTTTTTTAATTTTTTTTAAGCACAGGAGCACTCCTGGAAAATAGGGAGAAGGGTTATCCTGAGAGAGGAATTCCTCTCCCACCCGAAACTAAACGCCTGGAACACTTCGAGGCTGAGAGCTTTACAGACTTGGGGTGAGATGGGCGAGTGAGGCAGGGGGCCCCCAAGATTTAGAGTCAGAAGCCTCTAAGATCCCTCCCTATCCCTTCCCCTGCCCAAACCTAAGTGCGCAGAGGGGCCAAGTCACTGGTTGGAAGGCAGAATGTTGCCAGAGTGGGTGGGGCCCAGCAGGACACCAGTGAGGGGCTGGAGATGTGCCCATGAAGGGTGGGGTGACCAAGAGAAAGGGCTGGGATCCTGGTCCAGCCCCAGGCACTGCCAGTCACGCAGAGGGGAACCCTCACCTTGTCGATGAAGGAGGCAAATTTGTTGTTGAGGGTCTTGATCTGCTCCTTCTCCTGGGTGCGGACGGCCTGGATGTTGGGGTCCACCTCCAGCTTGAGGGGGCTCAGCAGACTCTGGTTCACGGTGACAGCTGTGATGCCCCCCAAACCTGGGGCCCCACCGTAGCTCCCAGCCATACCCATGCCGGTGCCCAGGCCGCCCCGAAAGCTGCTGCCGCTGCCCACTCGGGAAAAGGCCGAGGAGCTGATGCGGGAGCCGGGCCCACTGGTGTAGGAGCGGCTGCTGAAGGACCTGGGGGCGGAGGTAGACACCTTGTAGGACTTCTGGGTCACCCTGATGGACATGATGGAGGCTGGAGAGGAGGCGAGGAGGCCGAAGCTGAGAAGAGTCGAGGAGTTGAGAAGCTGCTTCTCGGTGGGGTACAGCGCCCCGATGGCCTTTTATAAAACAGAGCCCAGCCCATGAGGAGGGGATTGGCCTTGTAGCTGAGTGGCTAGGCCCTGAGGGGGGCAGGGCCTAACCTGACACCTGCCACCTACAGGCCGGACTCAGGTGGGGGCAGCAGAGAGCTGCTCCCACCCCGGAGCCCTTGCCTGCACCACCCTGGAGCCCAGGAAAAGGCAATTCTGTGAACGTAAAAGTGCAAGGACTCTCTGCCAGCCTCTACAAGCTCCCTGTAACAGAGCTTGCCCAGGGCTGCCCAGCCACTGCAGCCCCAAATCCTGGGTCTTATCTCCTTCCCTTCCGTGGGAAATAAATGCACAGACTGGGGAACAGGGCCAGCAAGGGACCCCTGGCATTTGAGTCTCCTCTGAGCAGCTGATACTCCAAAGACACCACCCTGTGTTCTTTCCTCCACATTGTGTGATTACAAAGGTCTGCCCAGGCTGGACACTTGGGTTCCAAATCACTGAACCTGAGGTCAACCATTTGCCTAGTCTTTCCTCAGTTACTGCTATGCCCTCAGCCCCTGGTGCAGTGCCAGGAGGCACTGGGAAAATATTCATGGAATGAATGAATGAATGAACACACACTCTCTTAGCTATGGGGCTGAACGTGAAAGTTAAAGTGAGATCCAACACAGTGCTTTTCCAGGACACAATGCCGTGGTGTCTTTCTCTCCTCCCAAGATCACAGGATCCTTGGGACTGAAAGGCACAGAGAAGGATGAACAAGAGCTAAAGGGCAGGCTGGGGGGAGGTCAGGAGAGAAGGTGGCTGCATCGGGGGCTTCATCTCATTGCTCAACACTGCTTGCAGGGGTCATTCCCATAGCCCCCAGTGGGTGAATCACAGGAAAGAGGCAAGACTGTGAGGTGGGGGTGGGTTGGGGAGCACCAACGGTGAGTCAACCGGCAGCTGCGTGGGCCCTCCTTCTCTTTCTCTTCCCCGGCCACCCCCCTGTCCCCCGCTGGCCATGGGAGAAGGAAAAGAATCCTTGCACCTGTCTCCCCAAACCCATTAAGAAAATGAGTCAGGAGAGCAGGTTGGAGCACCGCATGCACCTGCAGAAGGCTGGAGAATGGGAAGTTGAATAAGGCACCCAGGGCCTGGGTGGGGCAGGCTGTGGGTGGAAAGCACAAGTTTTGGGTCCCCAAGGCAGAGATTCCAGTAGCAATTACCTAATGGCTGGGGCTGGATTCTCTGATAGATCCTGCGGGGCATGAAATGGAGAGAAGTGGGTGGCTGTTCACTAGAAACCAACAGATTCCCTGGAGGAGAGGGACAGGCGGCCCATAGCCCACAAGCCCCAACCAAGGTGACTGCTACCATGCCTGTCCCCAGGGCAGGTGAGCAGATGTCTGTCCGTCCTTCTCCAGCAGGCATCCCGGGCACCCAGAGCACAGGCACAGAGACCCTTACAGAGGGACAGCGAGACCCAGAAACCCTCTCCCTGGGAGACAGACAAATCCCAAAAGACAGACATGCAGATAAGCCACCTCAGAACACACATACCAGACCATGCACACATACACACAAAAGAATGTACTCTGAAGTCCCTTCCGGAAAGACAAACCCAGAGACTCTCAGAGGGGACACAATGACCACGTCCCTTTCTTCCCTTCCCTCTTTTCTCTTCCCACCCTCCCCAGGCCTGGCGTCCTGCCACACAGAACCAGGCAGTACCTGTTTGTACCAGGCCCTCTCTCAGCCCCTTTAAACAATGTTAGTTTTCCAAGGAGTGATGTGAATGCAAGATCCCCCCTCCCCAACAAACACCCACACCGAGCCGAGCTGAGAGACTTCGCTTTCCAGAGACCAAAGGGAGGGATATGGGCCCGGTGCCAAACCAGGCACAGAGAAAGCGGAAGGAGAGAGGGAGGGGCTGGTCAGACAGGTATGGCAGCCCAGGGGAGGGAGGACCGGGCAGCTCCCTGCTTCTCCTCCCCCACACTGTGGTCCACACAGCGGACCTGGGCTCACTCAGAGGGGAGAGACCTTACCTAAAGTCCTGAGCACAAAACTGCAGCCCAGAGCCCTCCCCGAAATCTCAGCCCTCCCACCCCCAGCCCCAGCCACCGGGTTCCCTAGTTGCAGGAGTGCCTTTTGTTTAAGATGAAGACAAAGCGGGCTACAGGGACCCTGTGGTTTTCAGGCTGTAAGAAATCCCAGATCTCACTTCCCAGGGGAAGTTCCTCTTTGCTGGGGCAGCCCAGAACAATCCAGGGTGGAAAGTGCTTGCATCTTTCTTGTCAGTTCCCTATTGCCCAGAGCCCCAGCCAACCCCTCCCCCATGCCTGAAACCCAGCTTCAGGTGCAAGAGAAGAGGCCGGACCTGCTGGTTCCTGTGGCCTCTGCCTGGGATTCCAGCTTGGAAGCCATAGAGCGAAGCCCTGGTGGTTCAGATGGTAAAGAATCCGCCTGCAATGTGGAAGACCTGGGTTTGATCCCTGGGTCAGCAAGATCCCCTGGAGGAGGGAATGGCAACCCACTCCAGTCTTGCCTGGAGATTTCCATGGATGGAGGAACCTGGTGGGCTACAGTCCATGGGGTCGTAAAGAGTCGGACACGACTGAGCAACTTTCACTTTACTTCACTTCCAGGACTAGGGCCAATTTAGGGAACAGAAAATGGGACCAAGGTGGCCTGAGGGGACAACTTGTAAAGCTGTCTCTGGCCACTGAGGTCTGCACACTGCTTCCTACCCAACAAAAGAGAAAGTGTTTTTGGTGACTGCCCTACGCAGATCCAGATTCTACTCCAAACTGCCTTTCCTGGAAATCAGAAGAGGGTAGGAGGATATGCTCGCCCCCTCCTCCCTGATGGTGATGGTGCAGGATGGCACCAAGGAGGTCCGGAGGCCTCGAGTCAAGGCTGAGGGCAGAGATGGGTGAGCGGGGTAGCTCTTATCATAAGTCACTCACAATCCTCCGAAAAGATGGTCTGAACACACTCTTCTCAGTGGTCAGGACTGGTGACACAAAAACATCTCACTCAAAGCAGCACTACTCACAGAAGCCAAAATGGAAACAACGCAAACATCTACCAGTTGATGAATAGAGAGACAAAATGCAACATCCCCCTACAATGGTACACCATTCTCAGTAAAAATTAATGAATCGCCCATACCTGCTACAATTCAGATGAACCTTGAAAAATATTATGCTGAGTGAAGGAAGCCAGTCACACAAGATCATTCATTGCATGATTCTATTTGTATGAAATGTCCAGGAAGAGGCAAATCTATAGAGACAGAAAGCAGATCCATGGTTGCCAAACTACCTCCAGGCTGGGGGGAATGGAAGTGATTGGTAAAAATATGGAGTTTCTTTTAAGGCTGATGAAAATGTTCTCAATTCAATTACGGTGATCATTGTACAAGCCTGTGAAAATAGTAGAAATCATTGAATGGTACATTTTAAATGGTTGAATTGTGTGATATGTGAATTATAGCTCAATAAAGCTGTCACAAAAAAAGGCAATCCACAAAAGCATAAATCAGCCACATATATAAAGTAGGGACTTTGAGGACCAGCATAGGATTCAGGAGACAGAAGGGAAGATTTTGTTTAGATACTGAAGGTAGGTTCCCTGCCTCTAGGTTAGTGACCAGAGCAGAGTCTCCAAAGAACTGAAGTCACTTTAAAAGATTAGCATTTGAGTCTTACTGTTGACATGAAAATATCTGAGTTTAGTGCTGAGGCAGCAAGAACAATTTAAGTGGAAAGCCACAGATGGTGGGAAAACCCATCAGTAAGCCACATCATGAATAATAAAGTTGATCTGATTGTTCATTTTTATGCCCTGTGCCTCAAGGCCAAAATTGTTCATAGTCAGTGCTCAGTAAATGGTGACTATTTGTCATTGTGATAAACACAGCTCTGATGATTAAAGCCAGTCCGAATGGGAATAGACTGCCTAGAGAGGCAACAAGCTCCTGTCCCTAGAAGTCTGGAGAACAATGTGTGCTAACCAGCTGTCCTCTGGGTTCACTTTAGGAGGATTCCTAGCTCAGGTAGGGGTTTGGACTAGGACTTCCCAATCCTCCCAACTCTGAGAGCCTTGATCCATGTTCTGCTGTCACAGAACTTACGCTTTGATTGGACAACCACAAATGTTCTCCAAACCAAACTTTTTATTTTGACAGAAGATGTAGTTAGAAATTATTAGAATGGGGAGAAAGGTAGGAAGGTAAGCCTTCTAATGGAGGAAAGAAGACAAGCCTACAGTCTAGAGATAATGAGGTCTCCAGCCTGCTATCTCTTCTTTATACCCTCGTCTCCACTGATACCAAACTGGAAGCAGCCGTCTACTGGACAGTCAAGCATAGCTCAGTCATTGGTGTCCTTCCTCTTAATCCTGTTCTCTGGAGCATGCACACTAAAATCGCCCAGGCTGTCCCTGTATTTCTTTTTAATACAAGAACTCTTTTATTTTTTTTATGATTTTATTAATTTATTTTTGAATGCACTGGGTCTTCATTGCTGTGTAGACTTTTCTCAAGTTATGGCAAGCAGGGGCTACTCTCTAGTTGAGGTGTGCGGGCTTCTCATTGCGATAGTTTCTCTGGTTGCAGAGCACAGGCTCTAGGAGTCGCGGGCTTCAGTAGTTGTGGCATATGGACTCAGTAGTTGCAGTTCTCTGCTTCTCTTGTGCAGGCTCAACAACTGTGGCACACGGGCTTAGTTGATCCAAGGCATGTAGGACCTTCCTGGATCAGGGATTGAACCCATGTCTCTTGCATTGGCAGATGGATTCTTTACCACTGAGAGACCAGGGAAGCCCTTGGATCACAGTGAGTTTAATCAGATGCCACAGGACAGTCGCTGGTCACCAGGGAGAATAACCCCATGACTACAGACTTGGCACTCTAAACCAGTCCANGATCTTCCCAACTCAGGGATCGAACCTGGGTCTCCCGCATTGCAGGCAGATGCTTTACCATCTGAGCCACCTGTGGCCTGGGTTGCTCGGCAATGGAGCTATTGTCCAGTGAG